TATATATATATTGATAGGTAGTGGTGGAATAAATTAATAAATGCAGTATATTTCCTGAAAACATATTAGAATTTGTTTTCTTATGTTTCTGGGTAATTAGTCAAATCGCTAAAATCGATGAGAACTAGTAAGTTAATTAATTTGTTTCAGTGATACATATTTAAAAAAAAAATTATGATTATGTAAATATCAAATAATATTATGATTTTGTTTCAGAACTAGCAAGTCTACCAATTTTTCCTTGAGGCTTATGTCATCTCATGCACAATAAGTGTTAATATATAGTTTTTTGTTACATGGAGGTTTCGTTTATGATACATGCACATTTGTTTCCTCATGCAGCTTTGATTGTTCTCTACAAATTTCGTGGTCTTTACATCAGATTGAAACAATACTATATCAGTTTATAACTTAATGCAACCTTCTATTAGGCCATATAACTAAAGCCTCCGGTCCTATATTTGCAATAAAATGAAGGATTCTTATTACGAAACCTGAACCATATAATATTCTGTGATTTGATTTATAAGATTTTTTAGACTTGTGCCGATTGGAGGTTTACTCAGTAAACACACGCTCTCCAGATCATTATTGTGATTTGAAATAAGGAACAGGTCAACTCATTTGAGATTGTCAACAGCTCAAGTGACGTCCAAAGTCAAATAATACGGCGAGAACAGCTCTCCAGCCTTCATGCTTAGTCTAGGTTGTCAATACTTTACCAACTCATCACTAAACTCAGTTGTGAAGCTGCAATTACTAACGAAAGAACTTTCATTGAAATTAAAAGAACACAGATCGAACATAATTTGCTTAAACACTTACAACAAAATCGTGCATGGACTTGTTTTCAATGGGAAAAAGAACTAACAAAATGATGCGTTGACATTTGTGTAAACAGATGATGAAGAGAAGAGGCTAAGGGCGATTGTTCACCACCCCACACATCTTCCTGATCTCCCCCTGGCTTCCCGTGAGCACCTCGATGTGGCCCATTCTCACCATGGCCGCTGCGAACTTGGCCGCCCAAACCGACCCCAGCTTCGCGTCCAGGCGCACCAGCCTCGCCGTCAGCCGGCTCGCCTGCAGCGTCTGATCCGAGAACAGCAACCCCCTCCGCTTCGCCAGGTTCTTGTAGTACTGGTTGTCCAGCCTTCTCGGCGTCACCGCGTCCAACGGCACCGTCGTCGGGTCCTTGCTGGTGAAGTCCACGGTGGAAGGCGAGCATCTGCTCTTCAGGTAGGCCGCGAAGGCGGGATCCATCGACGGGTCCTGCGTATGGGTGGCGTTGAAGTTGTACAGCCGCGGCGCAAAGGCGGTGCAGTGGGCGCGGCCGATGGAGTGGGCTCCCGAAAGCGTCACCATCTCGTCCACCGACAACCCCTTCTTGGCGAAGCTGTCCCTCAGCCCGGCGGCGGTGAGGTTAGGCAAGGGGATGTTAGTTAGAGCCTCCGAGTCCAGTGACACCCTCCCGTCGCGCCTTCCGGCGGGCACAGGGTAGTCGATGCCGCCGGCCAGATAGGCCGAGTCCCGCGCCGCGAAGGCGATGATGTCGGCGCACGACACCGTGGACGGGCAGCGTGCTTCGACGGCCGCCTTCGCTGCGTCGATCACTTCGAAGCCTCGCATGCTGGGGTTGTTGGGTGGCGCGTCCTTCTCCGCAGTGTTCCCCGGACTCGAATTCAGCAGCAACGAAGCATCACATCCCTGCAACACCCACACACACAACGATGAACCTTTCGCCCTTGTATTCTACGTGCGCAAGCACTGCAATAAGAAGAGAAGGGGGGACGCCGACGTCCATGCACGTACGTACCCTAACGAAGCAGTCATGGAAGTGCATCCGGATAAGCCCAGCGGCGAGGCCGGGGTTGTTGGCCACCGCCTCGCTCACGGTTCTGCGCACGATGGCCTCCGCGGAGGGGCACGTCTTCCGGTAGAAACCCAAGTGGAGGGAAGCCGAAGTTGAAGAAGCCATGGCGAGGACCGCTATGAAGACGATCCAACAAGAACGAGAAACGCAACCCATCATCTTCTCACCTTAATCTGAAGTTTTTCTTCGCTTGAGCAAGAGTGAGCAAGAAAGATTTATTTGCTTGGGGGATGCCGAGCCTGCTCTCATGGATTGCCATTTATAAGAGTCTCACCGAGACGATCATTAAATGGTTGAAAGGTGCAGGTTTACTTAGTAAACCTCCAATTGGCAGAAGCCGTTGACAATCTCAAATATGAGTCGACCTGTTCCTTGTTTCATTGACGCAAGAAAGCGTGTCTCCGTGAGTTTGGTGACATTACGTACGGATTAATAGTAATTATGCAGATAAATAAGCTGCAATCACCGCCTACGAACACTTCCAATGTTGATGATGTCAAGGTTAAAATAGACTCGGTCATGGCTGCAAACATTTGATGTCCAACAAAATGTTCGACGTCATGTCACGTAGTGTTATATGATTCATTTCTGATGGCAATAATCTTTCGTTTCATTATAAAGCTTATGAACATAACCTAAAAAGATTAACTTAGGTCATGATAGAGTATTTGATTTAATCAACGTAGCCACGTCCACATATTGCAAGCAAAGATCAACTTGGCCTCTGAAAATTTCACACTTATGGGCCTATTTATTAGGATTGTGAGAGGTGACATCACATCTAGAGGTGTTCAAAGATGACCGAGTCATGTAAGTTGCAAATTTTTAATAGGTCACCGAGTCATGCAAGGAACTTTCTTGCATGATTTACTCTACATAAACAAGAATATTCATTATTGTATTCCCAATATTGGCGAGACAAATAAAATAGCGAGTAAGTTAGTTCATATCTCTAAAATTTTAGTTTAACCCCTGGAGACCCTATGGATTCTTGATTTGATCCAACTAAATGGCTGGACATAGTATCTAAATATTATTTTTATAATATTCTAGATTAGAAAGAATGATATTAGTGAGAAAATTATCTTCAAAAATTCACTCATAGTCCTTAAGGAGTTCGTAGTAACTACTTGTCTCCCACCTTATAAATCATGTCTGATGATTGTCAAAAGTGAATTTTTTACTTCTTACCTATTTTATTCTAGTTTTGAATGGAACTTATGGTCTGACTAAAAGATGACATGTTGATACGTGATATCATCTACTTTAACGTTTTTAAAAAACATAGCCTCTCGAGTAATAATCTCACTCTATGACTTCTTTACTGATGGAGTTCATGGGTGACTCTATCTTCATTTTCAGGATCATGAACATACACATCATATTCGGTGAAGAATATGACTAAGTTTATGATAGTCGACATTCACTCGATGTACAAAATGATCATAGGCCGATCCACACTCAACAGACTGATGGTTATAGTGTCGATCTATTATATGGTAATAATGTTCCCAACATGAACCGATATTGAGAAGTTGAAGAGTGATTCGAATGAGTCTCGTCAATGCTATATGACACCAGTTATCTTACCAAAGAAGGCCCGGTCTAAGACATCGCCATTGGACTATCAAGAATTCATTAAGCCTTTTCCATGTTTGGAGCTTATAGAGTCACTGATCGAAGAACCCTTGGGTAAGGCTCATCCTGATTAGGTTGACAAAGTCGGGACAACAATCCCTAAGGAGAAAGAGTGCTTCTCATCAATTTTCTCAAAGAAACAATTTTCTCAAAGAAAATACCAAGATGTTTGCATATCATTAAGAGACATGCTAGGAATATACCTTGACATGGCCCATCACTACCTGAATATTTCCCCCGAGGTCCAACCTGTGAAGCAAAAACATTACAAGTTTGCTCCCAAACGGTAACAAGCAATCTGTGATAAGGCGAACAAGTTATTAGAGACAAAGTTTATTGCCAAAATATAGTACCCCCAATGGCTTACTAATATTATATTGGTTAAAAAATTTAATAAAAATTAGAAAATGTGTGTTGTTTACATCGATCTCAACAAAGCATGTCTTAAGAATAGCTACTCTCTTCCTCGAATCGACTAATTGGTTGATGCTACCTCGGATCATGAGCTCCTTACCTTCGTGGATGCATTTTCAGGATATAACTAAATAAGGATGGCGCTTCGTGATCAGTAACATACCTTCTTTATCATGAACCGAGATATATATTGTTATAGAGTCATGTCATTTGAATTAAAATATATGAGAGCAACGTACCATGGTAAATAAAATATTCAAGAATTAGATCAAAAAGAATGTCAATATGTATATGGATGATATGATAGTCAAAAGCAGAATAGTCAACTCGCATATGGTGGACTTGGCTAAGACATTTCAAGTTTGAAGAGATACAATATGTGCCTTAACCCATCCAAGTGTGCTTTCGGAGCTAGCTCAGAAAAATATCACAGATTCATTGTTCACCAGAGAGGAATCAATGTAAACCCTGAGAATCTTCATGCCATATTAGAGATGCATCTACCTCGTTTGGTGAAGGAAGCATAACAGTTAACAAGGCGAATAATGGCATTTACCCTGTTCTTATCCTAGTCTGATGACAAATGCCTACGCTTCCTCCGGGTATTAAAAAACCTAAAAGATTTTCTATAGATCGAGAA